TTTATCAGTTACTGAGCTAGCGAAGTAATACCGCTATTGTGGTGTTCGCCATCAATTCAGTTCATAATTTCACAAATTATTATTCTTATATCATTCAAACTGTGTTTAAGTTCCCAATGTGGCATTTTCCTTTTTTTAAATTTTCCAGTCGTAACTGTCCATGCATTTCTCGCCTATATAATCCTTCTTGATCTAATTGTCCTAACTAGACATACAGATTATCACGTAAAAGGTAAAGCTATCCCTGTAACAGGCCGTGGAGGCCCATAGGGTTGTGAGACGTCGAGGCTGCCACATTGTCTAGAAAATCGGCTCACAGATGGCGGTGAGGTTGTCAGCCTTACACGCCGGCCGCGCTTTACTCCCAGGAAGATTCCTGATATTCATTTCTGTTAGAGGCTGAGTCGACCCCAGGGCGGTAGTGCGGCTGGAATGATCAGGTCAATTGAAAAGAAATGCACTTCATCGGGACTCTAACTCGCGACCTGCAGGCTTGTGGCATAGTGCCTCAAACAACTACGCTACGACGTGCCCCGTTTATCACGTAAAGAGGGCAAATTATGGAGCGTCTCATCAAGAAATTTTGTGTTCCCTTTGTTTTTCAAGCTCTCTTAGGCACTGTTACTATCCTCAGGTCCTTAATCTCTTATTTCTTCCTTCAGCGAGACAATCATAGTCTACTAATACGTTTATTAGTTCAAGGATAGACTGGTGTTAATTTTGAAATACCGTTCGAATTATGTGCCTGTCCACAGCTTCCGAGACTATGCATTTTTTTATTGCTAGTGGGGTGAGACTAAGCCCCTTGTACTGCGGCCACTTCTGGCCTATTATACCAGCCCCAGATGATAGGTGAGGACGATTATGGAGCAATTGGTGGAATGAAGATTGGCAGGGGAAACCGAAGTACTCGGAGAAAACCTGCCCCAGCGCCACTTTGTCCACCACAAATCCCACTTGACCAAACCCGGGATTGAACCTGGGTGGGAAGCCAGCGACTAACCGCTTGAGCTATGGCGCGGCCGAGCCTATGCATAACAGAAGATTCTGACACGTCAGATCCCCCCCACCCTTCATTATTAACTCGCAAACCCCGTGAGTTTATATTTGTGTACATCACTCTTGTAAGTATTTGGCGCGTTTCACGCGAGATGCACGCAGAAAGGTTTGTAGGTATTGCTATTGCCCGATTTTATCATAAAGGACGGTGAGACATGTGCCGAAGCCTCTTTTCACATTTTTGTTACGAGCGCTCCAGAAATGTGACAGAAACAGCAGAATGGATGATTTCAAGACGTTTCACGTGTTTAATTTTATTTACTTATATCTGCTCAACTCTGTCATAATTGGTAGTCCAATGGATTATCGGGGCACGCGGTGGCGTAGTTGGTTGAGGCACTATGCTAAAAGCCGGTAGGTCGCGGGTTCGATTCCTGGTGAGGTCATTGGATTATTCAATTGACCTAATCCTTCCAGCTGCACTGTGGCCCTGAGGTCGACTCAGCCTCTAACAGAAATGAGTAGCAGGAATCTTCCTGGGCGTAAATGGCGGCCGGCGTGTAAGTCTGAAAACCTCACCGCCATCTGTGAGTCGACTGCCTGGAAATTATGGGAGCCTCGACGTCTCACAACCCTATGGGCCTCCACGATCTGTTACAGGGATAGCTGGCTTTACCTATAAGTTATCATTGAATGAAAGCTGTATTTGAATGAAATCCATACTTTTATATAAATGTAATTAGTACAAAGACGATGCAACCATTCACTTTAAAAATGATGTAACGTTGAACCAGAAGAGCTATTGAAGGAAGCAGCCATGGCCTATTTTAAATTTCTACTCCAATAAATAAGATCTAAAAAGTTTGTACATTAATACAAACATTATGTTTCTGGACATTCTAGAGCACCATGATTTAAATACAAACAGGACGCTGGATAACGTACAGAAACATAATGTTTGTACTACCCCAGTGTTTTGAATGAAGGGGGTGAAAACCCACAAAAATAACTCAGTCTAGCCGATTTTAAGGTCCAGAATCAAATTCAGAAGTACGAAGCAGGGGCATCACCCACTCTGCCACGATATTCGATAGTATTTCAATAAAATGGATCACTTACGTGGTGAGAACTGTTGGCGACTCACAAACATAGAGGCCTGTCCCGCTGTGTTTATTAAATTTGAAAAAACTGGAAGAATAATTGAAACTATAATTTTGCCTGTAATTTTGTATTGGTGTGAAACTTGGTCTCTGACATTAAGGGAGGAACATAGACTGAGGGTTTTTGAGAACAGGGTGTTCAGGAGAATATTTGGACAGAAGAGAGATGAAGTGACAGGAGGTTGGAGAAAACTGCATAATGGGGAGCTTCATAACTTGTACTCTTCTCAAAGTATAATTAGAATGATCAAGTCAAGGAGGATGAGATGGGCAGGGCATGTAGCACGAATAGGGGCGAGGAGGAATGCATATAGGATAGTGGTGGGAAAGCCAGAAGGAAAGAGACCACAGGGAAAACCAAGGCGTAAATTGATATTAGAGAGACAGGATTGGATAGTATGGAAGGATTGATCTGGCTCAGGAGAGGGACCAGTGGAGGGCTCTTGTGAATACGGTAATGAACCTTCGGGTTCCATAAAGTTCTGGGAAGTTCTTGAGTGGTTGCACAATTGGCGGCTTATCAGGAAGGGCTCAGCTCCATGAGTGATTGTTTGGAAGAATAATTGACACACATTTCTTAAACTAAATGAAGCACATTTTTCACTTACCTGTCCAATGAAATGAGGCCATGTTCCACTGTGATTCTTCTCCACGCGTTTCCAATCCTCGGTGCGTCTCACGTCATAGCAACAATCCTAAGTGTACTCCTCGTTCCATACTGTTAGAACAGTAGGATTCGCAGAAGGAAGGAGATACTAAACGTGAGCGATTCTGGACTTCAGTAAATATTCTGTCCACGAAAAACATAATCTTTCACCAGAAACGTTTATGCTGTCGCGCTTACAAGTTATGAAGACAAGCTGACATAATTATTTGCTCGTGTTCATAAGCATAAATTGTTCCATTCCATAGTACTGAAACTCTTTACTGAATGGCAGGTCTGTTTTACATTAACAGGCATTATGATTTGCTTCTGAAGCTAGAGCCTTGGTCTACTTAGTAGCTTCTCTGCTATAGCCTAAGATAAAAATTCCTGCCACTGGTTGTCCATTACGTAATAATTACTGCAATAATAATAATAATAATAATAACAGTAAAATTAGAATATACGAAACTCTAATTTTGCCTGCGCTTCTGTATGGGTGTGAAACTTGGTCTCTGACCTTAAGGGAGGAACAGAGAGTGAGGGTGTTTGAGAACAGGGTGTTGAGGATAATATTTGGACCGAAGAGAGATGAAGTGACAGGAGGTTTGAGACAACTGCATAATAAGGAGATTCATAACTTGTGCTCTTCTCCAAGTGGAATTAGAATGCTCAAGTCAAGGAGGCTGAGGTGGGCAGGGCATGTAACATGAATGGGGGAGAAGAGGAATGCATGTGGGATACTGGTGGGAAAGCGAGAAGGAAAGAGACCACTAGGAAGAACGAGATGTAGGTGGGTGGACAGTATTAAAATGGATCTTATAGAGAGAGGACGGGATGGTATGGATTTCATTGATCTGGCTCAGGGTATGGACCAATGGATGGCTCTTGTAAATACGGTGATGAACCTTCGTGTTTCATAAAATAGTGTGCAACTGGCGCCTTCTCAAGAAGGGCTTAGCTCCAAGAGCGAGTGGGTGAGTGAGTGAATAGTAACAGAAGGCCTAGTAATAATAGTACGAGTAATAAGACTGTCAAGTTTGAGAGGTTTGCGTGACTAATAATAACTTCGTTATGGATTGGATGATGGCATTTATTAGCACTTTCTTCACAATTACAATCAGTTATAACAGCTCGCTATTGATGACGGCCTCAGACTCGCTCCATTGCTTACTGGACTACGAGTGCCTTATCTTCCACTCTGTGACTGACTTGGGTCTGATTTAGGAGCCGGTCACTTCTTCAGCTTCGGTTTTCCGCTGGTTAACACACCACAGCTGAACACTCAACCTCTGAATTGTCTTATGAATCAATGAATCCCGGATGACGGCTCGTTTACGAATGAACTGTGAACTGACTCTTTTATAACTTCCAGCGAACCGAAAATAAGCCACCATGTCCCACAGTTCCTCTGTTATTCTGTGTTTATCTATTGCTTCGAAATGTGCTTACCGAACCGTTGCCCAGTAATGGATTTTTCTGCCTCTGTTCGTTACTGGGAGGACGTGTGTTTTGCGAGCCGTTGGCTAGCAATGGATTTCCGCTCTGGCTACACTATTCCGGCTTTCAGGCGTCATGTTACAATACTTAATATAATAAGGAAGGCACTAGCATAGTACTTAATTTAATATAAGATCTATTCAAATGATAAGGGCTAGTTAAATTCGCAGTCAACTTTGGTATGTTCTTGCTTTTGTTTGTTCTTCTTTGTTTATGTTCTTCATGTTCATGAGAGCAGTCCTTATTTTGGGGTCCAGTAATTTAATAGTTTATTTCCGCAATCTTGGTCATTTTCATCCATTTTCTGTTAAACAGTTTATCAGAAGCGTGTTCAAAAAGCTCTCTCATTTTAAATAGAAAGAACAGCCATGCACTTAACCAACCAATGTAAAGTTATCCCTGTGATTAATTAATTAAGCATTATGCCATGACGTGTGTGGGAGTGAAAGTCTAGCTCCATCTTTCTTGACCTCGGCACTAGAAAGAGTTTAGTGGTAATTTCACGACCCGTCCGCTTTAAAATTCTCTTAGTGGGGGGTTGAGTCCAACTGGGTCCACTGGGCGCGGCGGCCACTGATTGTAGCCTGCCCCGGGTAATTACGATGATGGAGAATTTGCTGGAATGAAGATTGGCAAGGGAAACCGAAGTACTCGGAGAAACCACTCCTCATCACCACTTTGTCCACCACAAATCCCACTTGACGAGACCCGGGATCGAACCCGGCCCGGGTTGAAGTCAGCGATTAACCGCTTGAGCTATGGCGCGGCCAGGACCCGTCCGCTTTAGTCCCGGCAATGGGGCCCCCGGTACCCATTGGATAGGGGGCTGTATGGGCTCTAGTGCCCGTCTGACCCTGACGAGATTCGAACCCCAGCCGTCCAGCCCGTAGCCCATCGCTATAACGAGTTCGACTCCATGAACTCCTAAGCCTATGCATATTCACCACTATCATGCACGATACGCACCTAATACAAAAAAGAGCATTTAAGACGCTAAATGAACGTATGTTATCACAAAGTTGTCAAGTAGTCTTCTTACGCTGTGGTCTACAGATGACAGGATGAGACAATGAGCCCTCTGTAGCCCGAGTGCAAATGAGTAGAGACAGATTAAACCACGAAGCTCTTTTTCTTGTTATTCTTTCCATTCCTCGTGTCAGTTGACACCCAATTCTCGCGATTTTGTTATCAGCACCTTCTGTCTTCTTCCTCCATGGTGTACAGCCCAACCTTTCATTCGGGCTTCCACTTTCAGAGAAGTGCCGCCAACTGCTGACAGGGCGAACTCTACCCTTCCTTCGAACCTGGAACAGAAGACGCTACATGAGTTACTTTCAGTGCCAAAGCGGAAGGTCCACAAAGACTGAATTTTTGAAACTAGTCGTTTGATTGTGGTCAGAATGCCTTTGGTTCGGCTTGCCAGTTTGTCATCATGAAACGCGGTACCGTAGTTGGTTGAGGCACTATGCCACAAGCCTGAAGGTCGCGGGCTCCATTTCCGATGAGGTCATTGGATTTTTCAATTGATCTAAGCCTTCCAGCCGCGCTATGGCCCTGAGGTCGACTCAGCCTGTAACAGAAGTGAGTACCAGGAATCTTCCAGGGAGTAAAGGGCAGCCGGCACATAAGGCTGAGAACCTCACCGCCATCTGTGAGCTGACTGTAGAAGCCTCGAAGTCTCGCAACCCTATGGGCCTCCACGGGCTGTTACAGGGATAGCTTTACCTTTTTACATTTTACCGCATGAAACGACTCTTTGAATGTATTAAGGAGATGCATTATGTGGGCTACAGATCCACACTGAATCTTGCTGAAACTGATTTTCGACTACACTGATCTGTCAGTATGCGACTGCCTCAGAGCTCTCGTCCGCTCTCTGTCCAGTATGCACCGTTTGACCTAAGTAGTGATGAAATCCTGTACAGTCAACCCAAGGAAGTTAAGTTTCGAGCCCAATTGGTCTCTAAGTGTTTCTGACAATATTCACAACAGGCCTCCAATGTCTTGCATTACGCCGAACTAGAACGTCTAAGTTACATATTTTGCTTCCGAATTTATTCTCGAAGAAGTTAACAGCGGATTAAATGCTAATTGTATAGGCCGCTCCGTAGCTCAAGCGGTTAGTCGCTGGCTTCCCACCGCGCAGTCCCGGGTTCAAACCGGGGTCTGGTCAAGTGGGATTTGTGGTGGAAAAAGTGGCGCTGGGGTAGGTTTTCTCCGAGTACTTAGGTTTCCCCTGCCAATCTTCATTCCACAAATTCTCCATCATCATAATCACCCAGGGCAGATACAATAAGCCAGTCAGTGGCCGCCGTGCCGAGTGGACAAAACTGGACTCCACCCCACACTATGCGAAATTTAAGTGCTAATTATCAGTTCAGAATGTAAAGCGTGAAATCTAAAAAAGTATAATTTCACTTGTTTCGTGTGTGTATGAAACTCGGTATCTCACCTTTAGAAAAAAAAAACATAGATTGAGGTCTTTTGAGAACAGACTTCTGGCTATAATATTTCAGCCTATGACAGAGGAAGTAACAGAAGGACGGAGAAAATTGCGTAATGAAGAAGTTAATAATTTGTATAAAATTCCTTTTCACATGCCCATTAAGCTATTGGTGTGATGGAATGAAGACAGAGGAAAGGCGCATTTAGAGAAATTAATAGGAGTACAGAATTTTACTCTGAGAACCTAAAAGAAGACGACAATTTGTTAGACCTAGATATATGGAAGGATAATATCAAACTGGGTAGTGCAGAAACAGTGTCTGAAGAATTGGACTGAATTCAGGGGCTGGGAATAGGGTCCAGTGGCAGGCTCTTGCGAACATGGTAATGGTTTTTCGGGTTCCATAAATGCGGAGAATTTCTTGAATGGACGAGGGACTAATAGCTCCTATTCATGCTTAGATCTTGTTGAATGATTTTTACTGCGGTCCTGTTTATGTAATGCCCTGAAAGCACCTAGAAGTTCCTCCAATTGAATGCTAGACAAAGAGTGGTAGTCCAGTGATTGCGTTGATACCTTCAAGCCCATGGAGAGGCTGTAGTGTCAGCATTTACTCCGGCCTGATCATGTATCAAGAAGCGTAACGACTTAAGATGTCTCTCATAAAGAAATGGGAAAATAAGCGTGGGATGTCGATGTATGAAGAGACAACCACTTATTAAACTGCACAGAAATACATGCATTTATTGTAGTTGCACAGATATGAAGACGAATTTCTGCTTGAGGAACTGAAGGTCACTGGTTGCTGACAAGCTGTGTGAAGAAGACCTCTCTCTCTCTCTTTGTGGTTGACTGGTTGAAAAAGATGTAGGCAGGCTGATCTGATCTGAATCGAGTCTTGAGTCTTATGTTACGACAGACGGTCAGTCGGCCAGTGTGTCTCGGAACAAAGAACTCATTTGAGGCTTACGGCCAGATTTTTATTACTGCCAGACAGTTGTGGCTTTTTTATATGGGGCGCCCTCTCCGAAGAGAGAACGGGTCTGTCGTTTACAATTGCTGTTGGCCCTCGCCAGCTCAGTCATTCTCGGGCCTGAGTCCCGTGGGATTCGCGACCATATTTTTCTGTATCAGATTCGAGACTTCTCCTTTTGTTGCCTCCTACGACTCACAGGGCTATGGTGGAGGTATTCGACCCTGCCTCCACAAGGGATTGACTTGATCTGGTCCCGGTTGGGCTCTTCCTCGAGTGGTTTTCACACCGACAGTGTAGTGGACATCTGGGTGTACCGTTTGGATACTGAGTTCTGCTGAACTGCTTCCCTGGAGACGCTATTTCCAGTCATTACATAGCAGTGATAATTGTGTTGTAGGCTTTACCTAGCGATGGATTGTTTATTCAAGGAACGCGTCTCCTAGGAAACTGTTTACTGGGCCGTTGCTTATCAGTGGATGGTTTATATACTGTGTTCGCTAGCACTTGGGCGGTTCCCATATAAGTTTGCGAAGACTGACACAATGGAAGGAACCTGCTTTGTAAGAGTATATTCCTTTTCTCGTGAAGCTTGGATAATAGAGCGTACGTGCGGAATTCTTTCTCTTGCGCAGCTGTCCAAAACTACTTTTTTTTTTTACTTTAGTGGGGTGAGACTGAGTCCACTTGATACTGCGGCTACTTCTGGCCTATTGTACCTGCCTCAGATGATAGATGATTGTGGAGCAATTGGTGGACTTAAGATCGGCAGGGGAAACCGAAGTACTCGGACAAAACCTACCCCAGGACCACTTTGCCCACCACAAATCCCCTATGTCCAGACCAGGGCACGAACCCGGGCCGCCGCAGTGGGAAGCCAGCGACTAACCGCTTGTGCTATGGTGCGGCCCAAAAAAAGAACTCTCCACACAGTACCTATTGTTCGCAGTTGTTAGCAAACTGATCCCGTCCCTCGAGAAGCAGTAAGTTTGCGGGAATGGACAGTCGAACTCAGAGGCCTCCATAATGTAACAGGACGGTACAATCGGTGTTGAAGACGCTACCCCCGGCCTGGAAGACTAACGAGTAGAAATGACTTGTTGAGGACAGCCGAATGTGTTTGGAACTGGTTATAACAAGTGACCTTGGCGATCGTCGCGTGTCCTGGCGCTCTGGCTAGAGCCCCAGGCTCACTGCGTCTCATTCAGTTATCGTGAGGTTTTTGGGTTAGGCCTACCAGTGTGTGTGTGGTTATGATTGTTATATTGGCTAACTACAAGAAACATCGTTGCCTCTTTGAACGTACGAGGTACCCTAAAACAGAGAAATTGAGCCTTGCGCTACCTAACGCTACTGTTTCAACTGCAGAGCAGACAGACGTACAGCGTCAGCTGATCTGATATTGTTAGTAGACAAGAATCCGGGAGAAGGTGGTCCTTTTTCCAGGTATTATCTGCTATATCTATCATTCTCCCGGGGCACGCGGCAGCGTAGATGGTTGAGGCACTATGCTACAAGCCGGAAGATCGCGGGGTCGACTCAGCCTCTAACAGAAATGAGTACCAGGAATCTTCATGGGGGGGGGGGGGTAAGGTCGGCCGGCACGTAAAGCTGACAGCCTTGCCGCCATCTGTGAGCCGACTGTCTAGATAATGTGGGAACCTCGACGTCTCGGGAGCCGGATAGCGTAATTGGTATAGCGACCGAGGGGTCAAAGTTCGAGTCCCGGTAGAGTCAAACATTTTCTCTTCTCCAAATCGTCCAGACCGGCTCTGAGGCTCGCCCATCCTCCTGTCCAATGGGTACCGGGGGCTCTTTCCCCGGGGGGTTAAGCGGCAGGGGCGTGTAGCTGACCACTCACCTCCAACTAATACCGAGGTCAAGAAAATCCACTCCCCATACGCCTTCATGGCGTAGTGCTTAGTTAGTTAAGCGCAGGGACAACTTTACCTTTTGCTTACCTTTTACCTTGACGACTCACAACCCTATGGGCCTCCACGGCCTGTTACAGGGATAGTTTTACATTTTTCTTATCTACCATTCTCCTGGAGTAACTGAGAAGGCCACCAAACACCTCAGCGAGAGATGAACTGGGTGTGAAATGACAAAATTACAAAGTGGTATAGGGGAAGTTTTTTTACTTAATATGTAATTTTACTCAGTATTATTAGAGGGGTGCAAGGGACCCAGAGGTGAAGCGTCACGCGGTTTGGTCTCCTCAAAGCTGAAGATGAGTGCACTGCTTCTTTATCTACAAGGAAACGGAATCATATATCACCCGCCAGTCTGGTCTGTAGGGCCGTTGTTGAAGGCCCTCCGGAATGAAAACGTGGCATTCCAGTCTCCTCACTTTACTGGCTGATCATTCGACCAATGCTGAAACCTGTAAGGGTTAATAATTCGAAAGGAGCTACACAGATGAGCAGCAATCAAGTTTAGATAAGAAGGCTTAATGGAGAGGGGATACGTGGAAGACCAAAGCGTGTATAGTGTGATGCGGTCTGAACTCTGCACGCTCGTGTGATAGCGTTGATGAACGACCTGGTTCCCAGAACTAATTGTCTTAGTCAGCCTGGGAAGATGATTTTAAATAGAGATGGCCCTTGGGCCCCTATACTCATTGCGATGCTTCTACTGCTGCAAGTGACGCTAAATTGCGTACAAAGTACAAGCAAGCCCTTAGAGGCCCTATATATCGTAATATACATGTTCATCATCACACAGTTAGTGAAATGCAGATCATAATCTTTCGGCTTTTGACACCGTATAGATTTATAGGCGGACACTGATGTTTCGGAGGTACTTGCTACCTCTGTTTTCAGGTTTAAGTGTGTAGGGTGAGAAAACGTTTGGGATTATAGGCCTATAGGCAAGGAAAGTGGTCG